TCATCTCTATCATCTCTATCATCTCTGTCATCTCTATCATCTCTATTCCGCCAGAAAAAAAAATCCCGAAAATAAAAAATCTTTTTTAATTCATTTTTGCTGCATGATTGGGCTACCATACCTTTCAAACAAAAAAGACAATTTTAATTTTTAACATCATCACTTTTAGAGTAAACATTAAGAGAATAACATTCTTACTAATAAAATGTTGATTTGAGGACAAATATTAATATAATAAAATACAAATCTAAATTTGACTTTATTCTTAAAAAAAGATGATCATAACTTTAAAACATGAAACTCTTTTACAGCTTTAGGTTCATCATAATGTTTATAATATTAAAATAAGACTTTATTGATTAAATACAACTTTAATGTGTAAATTAAATAAAACTGAACTAATATTAATACAAATAAATGAGATAAAGTTAATAAATAAAACATTTTTAAGTATTATTGGTCTCAGAGGGAGTAGAGCTTCAGCTGCTCCTCCACGTCCTCCGTCACCTCCTGGTTCTCCTTCAGGAGCAGGAAGATGGCGGCCAGCTGCTCCTGTTGCACCCTGGGAAGTCAAGTCACACGCACACGCACGCACGCACGCACGCACGCACGCACGCACACACACACACGATCTCTGAGTCAGCTGTGTTGACCTGAGCAGAAATAACCAGCAGAGTTCACATGACAGGAAACTTGTATAACATTTAAAAAAAAAAAAAAAAAGAAAAAAAAAAATTTAACAAATAAATATTAAAATTTATTTTTTTTTTTTTTAATTTTTAAATTTTAAATTTTAAATGTAAAAAAATAAAAAATTGTTAAGTTAACGCATTAATTAATTAACGATGACAATTATATTATCGCTCCTGAATGCAGTTTTTAAAATTTATTATTAAGCGGACATTTTTAACACAAGAACCGGGCAGCGAGCGGTGAACAGCTGAGTTTGTGTGGCGTCACTTCCTGCTGCTGCTGCCGCCCCCCCGGTGACACGCCCGGTCCGGAACCCCCCTTCACTCAGTCACTGTCGGTCCCTCCTGTCTCACACACACACACACATGCGCACGATCGTCTCTTTACAGGATCGTGACGAGCGGTGAACAGCTGTTTGTGTGGCGTCTCTTCTGTTTCCTTCACACATATATATATGTATATATATATATACTGTATATATGTATGTATATATATATATATGTATGTATATATATAT